GTGCTGATCACAGAAAAGTAGGATCAGTCCCTCCCTGGAGGAGCTGGTGGCACTTCAACTCAAGAAGCAGCTCCTTGTGCTTCTTATGTTGCTCACCTGATGGGCATTGCCTGCTCCCTCCCACTCCACAGCAGCAGGAGTAGCAGCTACAGGAGGGAAAAGCATCTTGGCCTGGATTGTTCTGCCATGCTTTTCCTCAGATGTTTCTTCTCAAGCTCTAGGGCCTGAGAACTCATCTTCCTGGACTCCTGTGTAACTTCTCAGACACACTGACTCTTGCAATACTCCACTTCTAATAAAAGAGGGAAAAATAGGATGTCTTCAATTTCAATTATATCAAATAGGTTGTCCCTCTACAGCTTCATAGAGGAAACCCAGATTCTCTGGGACAAGCCAGGCCCCCTGCCCAGGCCCCATCTGGCTGGGGCTCCAGGAAATGCTCTGCTATTTCTAGATCAGCTTACTGTGACTCAGATTCCCACTTTTATTCTTTTTAGTTAGTTAGTTTTAAACACCTAGTTTCACCTATCTGCTTGAAGCCAGGAGTGGTCAACAGATGGTGATAGAATGAGTCTCATTAGTCATCACTTGTGTGGCTCTGAGCTGGACACTGGTGGGGACCTGGGTGGGCTGGCAGGGTCAGGTCCTGCAGCATCACCTCTCAGGGCCTTTCACAGCCTCCTCTTCCACCACAAACCTTGAGGCATTTGGTGGCCAGTGCTTTTTTGTGCTTATGAAAAGCTGATAAATCTGATGTGCAGCAACACCTGAAGCCCTGTCACAGCACATGCCACAGCTGAGATGACCACGGTACACAGAGTATCACCATGCAATTTCAGAAAGCTTCAACCCATACAGAGCAACACCTCACCACTTCAGAAGGCTGCAAGTGTCCACCCTTCTGTAGCCCAGCCTTTTATCCCCTCCTGTTGATGCCCTGCCCCTGTGTGCCCTCTGCTCCCTTTGGTGGTTGCTCAGTGCCCCTGGGCACTCCATGGCTCATTGCTGTCAGTGCTGCTCACCTGCTGCTCACAGCTGCACCCACTGGGGATGAGGCTGGGCCAGCCCCACTCCCAATTTTCAGTACACAAACTATGTGCCTACAAAACCCTTCCCATATTTGTTATTTCCACAGTGCCTGGGTACAGATATGGACTAATGGGGTGGGGAAAAGTGTAACAGAGCAATTAGCTGAGAGATTAAAATCTTTTAAAAAATCATTAGGGGGCTTAATGGGATTTTTCTACCAGCTAGAAGTCTCCTGAGAATCTGACTGAAATTGTCTAGGAGGCACTGAGCACGAGGTAGGACAGGTTATTTGGGTCAGTGGGACACGAGGATCTCCCCAGGCTTGCCTTGGGAAGGGCCAACCCCACGGTGAAGAATCAGTCTCTTGCTTCTTCCCAAAGGAGGGACCTCTCTTGAGGAGCAGCCAGGGCTTGCTCTGGTAGAAATGTTTCTTCTGGGAGCCCAGGGAAGGGAGATGCCAATAGTTTCCTCAGCTCTGACCAAGATCTGACAGTGGGTGAGGGACCCAGAACAAGGCTCTGGGGTAGGCAGGAGAGCTGGGCTCTGGGAGGAGGACACCTCTGATGAATACATCCCTGATTTGGCATTCAGAGAGGGTTTTGGGTTTTTTTTAATATCTATATATATATATATATATATATATACATACACATAATTCAATTAGACTGAGAGTAACTGCTGGCTCCTTGCCCACACTGAGCTCTGGAAGCACCATTTAGGTCCTGCAAGTGCTGCTAGCTTGAGAATAAAACAAAGTGTGCTGGCATATCTGGGTCACTCTCTCCTGCAGAAGAAGGGATTTTAATGGCTATGTCCCATCTCCTGTCCAAGGATGTCAGAGGCCAAATTGCTGAAAATAAAAATGAGACACTTGGGAAATGGTTTTGCCTTTTCCATCACCTGTGGCTGTGCAACTTCTCTGTCCCAACTCTCAGGGCCATGCAGTGAAGGCTGTGCAGAGCTTTCTTGCCTCCCTGCTACCTTGTGTGTGTTTTCAGAGAGCTGGCACAGTGTGAGCAAGCTGCAGCTTCAATCCCCTGTGGGGGGAAGGGCATAAATCAGAGCTGGCCTCTGGCTTTACTCTGTAAGAAAAAAAAAATAGAAAAAAGGAAGTCTTAGGGGTGCAGATGAACCAGGTGCAAAGGCAAAGCAAATACAATCTGAAATTACACCTTGAAAAATTGAATCTGAGGAATATTTGATTTCAGTAACGTCAATTTAGGTGATGGAGAGGAGCCCAAACATTGTGATTAAATATACTCAGTGAGAACCTCCAAAAAGTCACATCTCTCAAATAAGGACTGATTTCCTATTGGGCAAGTGGGATGCTATTTTTTCATTCAAACTGGACAAAGCCATCACTTTTCAGTTTTGTAGCCCTGGAGCATATCCTCTGACTGGTCTTTCCCTATCCTTGTCTCTCAGGAAAGCAGCAGAGATGAGAATACTTGAAGTGCATTTGCAGGGCAGGTGAGCAAAGCTGGGCTGGGAAAGCAGGAAAGTGTCACCAGTGCCTGGGCTGGGTGCAAGTGTCACCCCTGTCCCTGCCCAGCACAGCAAGGCTGTGGTCAGCCAGCAGCTGCCAGGCACAGAGCCATGGCTGGAAGCTTCCCAGCCCACAAGGAGCCTGCCAGGGGGCTAATGCATGTCTTGGCAGAGCCACCACCCCGAGCTTATTTATGTCAACAAGGTTTGAAAGCCATGGAGGCTGCCTGCAGCATTACAGACAATTTACTCCAGACAAGGAATGAGCTCTGCATTTACAGGCTGACATCCTTGCACTGCTGTGGCAGGATATAAAGTGCTCATTGAAAATGAAAATACTGGAGGGGGTTTCTGTGGTCTGGTGTGATCTCTGGACATCACAGGTATTCAACAGGCAAGAAATGGGCTGGGAAAGGGATGGGAATCTGTGACAGAGGACAAGAGGAATGGAAAGTTATGGGCAAGAGAGAACCAGAAGGCAGGTGTTCACACTCCCTACACTGTACTGCTGCTTCTTAGCCCACATTTGCCCAAATACTTCCCTTGCATATTTAAATTATATGTAGTGTTTCTGAGATAGACAACAAGCTCTTGGAAATGTAGATGCCAACTTAGAAAGCAGCCTCATTTTTACAGATTGTGCAGTTCCCAAATGAGCAGTTTTGACAGCAATACTCCAGCAGCACTCCTCTCCTGCCAGCAGCAGAGCCCTCCCTGAGTGCTGCAAGGCCATCAGCACCCCCTCAGTGACACCTTTCACTAGAGCAGGATGTTCCAAACCCCTGCTTACCTGGCCTTAGACACTTCCAAGGATGAGGTATCCAAAACTTCTCAGGGCATCCTGTTCCAGGGCCTGTTTTCTGCAGAAGAAATGTTTTATTAAGGCAGAAGGTGGTGGTGGATGTTTGGTGTGAGCTGGAAGCTGGAGCTGAGAGGACATGCCAGCAGCATGGGTCAGGTTGTCTGAAGATGTGGAGAGGGTGCCAGGCTGTTTAAATACAGACCTTGAGATATTGGTAAACCAGGGAAAACCTTTGGCTTTTGCCACCAAGAACTCAGAGCAGATTAATACCATCAGCCACCCTTGAGAGCTTGAAGCAGAGTTTACATGCAAAGAGTTCAGCTCCTCTGAAAGATGAACTTTATAAAGGGTACATAAGAGGGACAGATCAGTGTTTTTAATCTTCCTTTGGCAAGGAAAATCAAGTCAGAGCAAATCAGGAAATAATGAAAGGATATGTTCATTTAAAACTTAACGGCATCTTTTTTGTTAGGGAATTTCCTTTTTCTTTTAATTTGCATTTTAATTTGCATTATGATAAAAAAGGTAAACGCTGATCCATCAATCTTTGCTTCTCCCTACCTGTGCAAAAAAACCAAACCCAAGCATACTGTGTTTTGCTGCATGTGCTCTCATGGGATTTTGAGGGCAGGAAGGATAATTTTGGTGCATCAAATTTTACTCCCTGCACCAATCAAATGATTTAAGCCCACTTTTCCCTCTCTGGAGGCTGGTGTGTCCAAAGCACAAGAGCTGGGAAGGCAGCCAGAGTGAGGATTTCAGGTGAGTCTGAGGAAGAGGCTATATTAAGTCTGGCAAATTTCCCACAGGCTGTCACAGAGGCCTGAGGCTGCTCAATGCCCTCAAGGGGGAAAAAAGGTCCATAGCAATTATATTTCCTTAATTTACTTTTAACTGACAGTAACTGGATAATATTCCCGAGCAGAAATTTCAAAATTTGGATGAAAAATTTTGCCCAAGTGACTTAGAATCCTGGAATGGTTTGGGTTGAAAAGGACCTTAAAGCTCATCCCACTTCAGCCCCTGTCATGGGCAGGGACATGTTCCACTAACCCCGGTTGCTTCAAACCCCATCCAACCTGGCCTTGGACACTGCCAGGGATGTGGCAGCCACTGCCCCCCTGGGAACACCCACCCTTCAGGAAGGACCTCTCACCTTCCCCAAGGGCAGTGCCAGACACTGAGTTCAGTGCCTGAAGGATGTGATGCACAGTGACATCTTGGGATGGCTAATGGATCCTGAAATCACCACCTCCATTTCAGAAATGCTCATTTTATTTGCAAATCCAAAATATTTTATACATCTTGAAGAAAAAATTAACTTTCTAATGGCTCATCAATCTTATCTGCCTTTTTGCTCTTACCTTCCTTATCTTCTTTTCCCTTGGTGCTGTCTCAGTAACTGGGGTAGGTATGTAGGAGACCAGGCGAGTTTGGCAATTTGTCACCAGCACTTTTATCCTCCAATGCCACCTTTAGGAAATACCAGCCTGAAACTGAACATCTCTTAGCACAGCTGGGACACGGGCAGCACACGGTGGGATGGGAGGGAGCACAGGGGAGGGATGTAGCAGCTGTGTGGCTGTGAGGGACTGGCTGGGCCATGGCTGGTGGCTGCCATGGTGCTGCAGGGCTCAGTGGGTGCTGCTAAACCCCCTCCACCTTTTCCTTGTGCCCCCTCCAGAGCGAGCCCGGGATTACCTGCACAAGACCGGACGCTTCATCGTCATCGGCGGCATCGTCTCGCCCGTGCACGACTCCTATGGGAAAACGGTGCTGAACCCAGTTCCCTTCTGCCTCCTGGCTGAGATGGTGTCTCTGAAATGGGGGATGAGCACTGGGCAGCACTGCCTGACCCATGGTCCCTTCATGGCCCTCTTCTGCCTGGGGCAGCTCCTGACCTTGGGAAAGTCTCAGAGAGAAGGGAGAGGAGGAAACCTCTTGCTGTTTAGATAAAAACTGTAGTGAGACCCTAAAATGAGCCAAAGACAGCAAAGAGAAACATTCCCATCCAAAACAGTACTGGTGGTGATGGCTTAAGTGGGGGTTGGTGGGAATTTTTTAGTTTTAATTATTTCAAAGCAAACTGTTTAGGTTAGGTTTTTTTTTGGGGGGGGGGGGCAGGGGGAAATATCAAAATTATGCAAATGAGTGACCTTTAGAAGCACTTGCGAAATTAGGAGTGCTGAGCTCACTTGTCTCCTGAAAGCTGGAGGAATTTCATCAAGAGATCACCCCCTCAGGCTGGCCCCATTGGAGCCCAGGTCTGGGAGTGGTGCTGCTGAGCAAATCTCACCACCTGAGCACGTAGCCAGGGCTGAGCCCAACAGAGACTCCTCCCCTCCAGCAAACAGGAGCTTAAATAAACCTCTGTGGGCAGGAAGGAATCCTCCTGGCCTGTCTCACACGAGTGAGCCTGATGTTCTGCCCCAGAAGGGTTTGCAAGCCCAGGCTGGGCACAAGGCTTCATGAGTGCTCTTCCTTCCCCTTGTCGTGCAGGGGCTGGTCTCCAGCCGGCACCGCCTGACCATGTGCCAGCTGGCCGTGCAGTCCTCCGACTGGATCAGGTGGGTGGCACAGCTGGCACTGCCCCTTCCCTGCACCAGGGGGGCAAAGTCCTGCATGCACAGTGGAGATGCCACCAGCTGGCGCAGCTCCAGGATGAATTTCCTCCCAGCCCAAGCTTGACTAAACATCAGAAACCTTCCCCTGCCAGTCCAGCAGAGAACAGATGAGGAGGGTTACACCACCCTTCAGGATTTGGGGAGTCATTCAAGCCCCTCACTGAGCCTGAGGTGGTACCCAAAGTCACTCAGCTCACTCCAGCCTTGTGCTGTGGCACCTCCCTGCCCACACATGTAGCACCAGCCTGCAGACTTTCACCTTCCCAGCATTGCCATGTGGCATCTGGTGGTTGATGTGACACCAGAAGCATCTTGGGCTGCCCACAGAAAGAGGGTTGTGACACACATAGTCACATCCAAGCCAAAAAAAGCTTGTTAGTTGGGTACCAAGCATGGAAAGATGACCAGGCACACGTTCAGCTCTCCAGAGCTGTTAGGGGTCACTGTGCAGAGGGGCTGGAGGAAGGACATGGTCCATGCCAGGGCTGAGGGATCGAGGATGGCTGCTCATGGCACTGCTGGCCAGCCCAGTGGGCAGGAGGTGGCATGGGCAGGAGGTCCAGGCAGTGGCCATGAGCAGCATTGTTGCCTTGCTGTGCTCCTGGCAGGGTGGACCCCTGGGAGTGCTACCAGGACACCTGGCAGACCACCTGCAGCGTGCTGGAGCACCACCGTGACCTGATGAAGGTGAGGCAGCCCCTGCACCGTGGGTGCACCAGGGGGAGGGCATGGGGACACTGCAGGGGTGGGGGTGCCCTTCCCCAGCTCATGGCCATCAACAGTCAAAACACATCAGAGATTGACAGCGAGAAGGCTTGCAGGAACACCATGAAATCCTGACCTGGAAGGGGTGAGACCTTGTCACAGCTGCTTTGAGGTCTGAGCCCTGATGGCAGAAGGAAATGGAGCCCTCCAGCTGGAGCCAGCAGCCATCCTGGACCCAGCAACAGCAGGAGGGCAGCAGGGCTTAAGGCAGACTCAAAGCAGGGATGGGCACATCATTAGTGACACCCTGCTTCCTCCTCCCTGAGGGAGGGAGGGGTGGAGGGGCCACCCCGCTCACCAGCTGAGCCAGAACTACTGTATGAACCTGACCAAGAGATTTGACAGGAAAATTCAGCATCTGGGAGGTCCCCAGGGAGCACAACGCCAGGAGGAAAAGTTCCAGGCAGTCCTGAAAGCCAAGGAGGAAGGTGACTGCCCTTGGGTGACAGGGGTAGCAGAGCTACTGGTACACTGAGATACAGGAAGAAAACCAAAGACAGGAAATGGATGAAAGAGCATTGTACAAGCTCACAGACAGCCCAGACAGGAGGCACAGGAGTGGCATTAGCCAGCCCAGCAGGATGTCCAATGCATCCAGGCACTGTGGTGCTGAAGCCAGGGAGTTGTTGGTGATACCCTCCTTTTCCTGCAGGGATGGGTGGAGTGTAAGAGGACACATATGCTCCTTGCTAGCCCACACAAAAAAAGTTGATACCACCTTAAACACAAGCCACAGGTTATCCACAGGGTCCTCATAGTCCCAGGCCCATTTGGTGAGGTCAGATGGGACTGGAGACCCTAAAGCGAGCTGGGATGTGCCTGTCACCAAAGGTAACCTTGAACCAGGGGTGAGAGGCTTTTTACAGGGTCAGAAAGGTTTTGTGAGGTTGCTGGGGTGAAGACACTGTTCCAACTACATCCTTCCCTGATTGCAGAGAGTGACTGGCTGCATCCTGTCCAATGTCAACACGCCCTCCATCACCCCTGTGATCGGCCAGCCCCAGAACGAGTCCTCGCAGAACATCTACCAGAACAACAACAACAGCGTCTCCAGCAAGCCCACTGCAGGTGGGTGGGGGTGGCACAGGGCACAGGGGGGTGGCTGCTTACCCCTACCTCCCAGCCAGGGCTGCCAAATATTAGACCAGTGCTCCATCGCCTTAATTTTGGACAGGTGTCTCATCAGCCTTGGTGCAGCAAGTCCAAGGTGGGGCAGGGGTGTGATGCAGGAGTCAGCATCCAGCACAGCAAGGGCAGGAGCCAAGAACAGATTAAAATGGAAATCTCCTTGGACTTCAGCTGGATGATGTCTAGGCAGCAAGACCAACAGAAGGAAAGGCTACCTGGTACCAAGGGATGAACAGGCAGGAGAGATGATGCAGTGGGGTTCCCTACAAGTCAGAGGGATGTGCACCATAAAGGTATTAGTTGAGAAGAGGGAACATTACTTAAATTCCATTAAAATTGACATCTTATGGTTTTCTTCGTGATTTTAGCTGCCTAGCTGGTCCCTTCAAAGCAGAGTGGAGCACTCTTGGGAGTTAAGACCGTGAGAGGAGGCGTTGGGAGATGCTGGGAGCAGTTGCACACCCAGGCACAGGAGCATTTTGCAGAACCAGGATGGCTGAAGCATGTGGAAGTGTTAATGGCACAGCCTCCCTCCCATTAATTTTCCTTCTTCCCCTTTAGCAAAGATCTTGGGGAAGGTGGGAGAAAGCCTGAGCCGGATTTGCTGTGTTCGCCCGCCCATGGAGCGCTTCACCTTTGTGGGTACGTAGAGGAAAGGTCCAGCATCTCCTCTAGAGACCCCCTCCCCACCCTTCCTCCCTACCCCTCTTCCAGGCTGGGCACCAACCTCTCTTTTGCTGCCCTTTCTCAGATGAAAATGCCAACCTGGGGACAGTGATGAGATATGAGGAGATTGGTGAGTACACAGCCCCTCCCCACCTCGCTCCCACTCCTGGGTGAGTGCTGCATGGCTTGGGAGCATCTGCATGGCAGCTCTGGCAGACACAGGATCATCTCACCTTGGTGCCACCTACTGGGGCTCAGGAATGCAACAGAAACAGCTCTAACTGGGCTGAGCCTAGTCCTGTTGACAGACAACAAGCTGAAATCGGGGAGTGCCATGGGGACACAGCTCCCAGCACTGGCACAGAGCTGCCATGGCCATGGCACCCTGTCCTGAGAGGCCCCTCAAGTGCCATCAAACTTGGCCTCCCATGGTGGTGTCACCCCATGCCTGCATTGCCTGCAGCCCTGCAGAGCCTCAGACAGCAGCAGAGATTTTGGCTGCCTGACCAGCCATGGTGCCCCTTGCTCTAAAGGCTTTTAGGGGTTTTACCCCCACCAGACATCACCCAGAGCTCTGCATGGGGAGTTTTGAGACCCTTTTCACACACAGCCTGGGACTACAGCCATCCTAGCACTAGCACCATGCAGAGCATTGGCCACCTGGGAATGACAAATAGGGAGGCATTCTCCTATGTAGCCACCTTTTCTCACCCCTCTGGGGGAGGGTGTTTATGGCTTTTATCGGGCAGTTGGGCAAATAAATTAACCTTTATGGGCCTGTCAGAGCAGAAAAGTTCCCACAGCATAATTTTCTTGCTGAGCTGCAAAGCCAACCCTCAAAGTTGGGTGGGGGGAGGGGGTTCCTTCTCAGCCCCCTGTGCTCCCACCTCTGGGCTTCTCTCCTCTCTTTTCCAGAGCTTCGCATCTTGCTGCTCTGTGGCAGCGACCTGCTGGAGTCCTTCTGCATCCCTGGCCTCTGGAACGAGGCAGATGTGAGTCACCACTGCCAGGCACCCCTCCATGCTCCTCCTCCTCTGCTTCCCACAGCCAGTGCTCCTGGGAGCCACCAGGTCCCTTGGGATGACAGGAGCTGTGCCCACCATCTCCACTGCCTCCTCCATCCCTACCCTGACTGTCATCTCCCCAGCACATTTCCATAGGGCTTCCATGGCCCCAAGCACTGCACCCCGTTAATGCAGAGGATGTCACCTGGGGTGGAGGGTAAGCCCATCCCAAGGCACTTCCAAAGGCTGTGCTCCCACTCCTTGTTCCTTGGAAGGAGCCAGTATCAAGCAGATGCCAATCCCAGCAGAGTGAGGTATGCAGGTAGGAAATAAGGTATTTACAGGAGTGGTTCAGATGTTAGGAATTAAACATATTTAGACCCAAATCAACACCTTTCACTGTTGGTCCTTGCTGGAAGAAGCTGTATTTTCATGGGAGAGCACCAGCCCTGGAGAGGGGCTGGGCTGCTGCCCCACCTGCTGCTCCTGGTTGGAGCCATGCTGGCTGTGAGGGCTCCTCCAGCTCCTCCCTGAAATCAGGCAGTCAACACAAACCTCCCTCCTTGAACTTTTCAGCCTTCAAAAATCAGTTACCACATCTTCAATCCTTAACTTTTTAAAGCATTTGGGCAGCAGGCATCTCCTTTGAAGGGCTGGAAAAACTGAAATGAGCCAAGCCCTGAGCCCAGCACAAAGGATGCAGAAATGAATCAAAGCACAGGCAGAAAATTCTCTCTGCAGCAGCACCTCCTCACAGACTGCTGCTGCTTGAATTTGCTGACCCAAAGCTCTTTTGGATGAGCCTGATTTGTCTCATCTGAGAGGTGTGAGCACTATGAGTGCTCTTCATGCAGCAGCAAATTTGGCCAAACAAGCTTGGAAGAACAACCCTCCCAAACCTCTGTCAGGACCAATACATCCAATCCTGCTCATGAACCCTTCCAGCCAGGCAGAGATCACATTCACCTTGGGCAACCTCTTCTGCTGTCACCTCCTTCTGCCACAAGTTCTCCTCAAGGCCTGACCACAATGTCTACTACTAGGATTTAGCCCTCTGCCTTTTATTTGATCTACTGCCGAGCCCTTGCCTGCACAATTCCATGTTTCTGCCAAAGGCTGGTGACATAGCCTCAAAGTCACTCCCCATCACGGTCCTCCAGACCATGGTCCAGCTTTCACAGGGCAGGGTGGGGCTGGCAGGCAGTGGGAGGTTTTGCATGGGGTGGCTGTGAAGCTCTCCACACTTTGTGTTGCTCGCAGATGGAGGTGATTGTCGGGGAGTTTGGGATCGTGGTGGTGCCGCGGGACGGAGCAGACCCCGAGCGGATCATGAACCACTCCTCCATCCTCCGCAAGTACAAAGTGAGTCAGAGGGTGCACGTGTGCCCAGGGAAGGCTGAGAGAGGGCTCTCTTACCCAGGGGGACACTTCTGTCATGGGACACAAAGCATCTCAGGGTCAGGTGCTCTCAGCTGGTGGATGGGATGAGCAATGGGTTATCCCATTGCTGGGATGAGGTGGGGAGGCTGGAGCAGCAGATATCTGCTTTCAAGCTGTCCCTTCACTCCTGTTTTCCTCTTTCCCCTGCAGAACAACATCCTGGTGGTGAAGGATGACTCAAACCACCCCATGTCAGTTGTCAGCTCCACCAAAAGCAGGTGGGTGAAGCAGGGCTACTCCCACTACAGAGCAGGGTGTCCCCAGCCAGCCTCTCCATTTGCAGGGACACCTGCCCCACCCAAGTTGGCTCTGACACCTTTCTCTCTCCCCACACTCCCAGACTGGCCCTGCAGCACGGCGATGGACACGTTGTGGATTACCTCTGCCAGCCTGTCATTGACTACATCCTCAAGAGCCAGCTGTACATCAACGCCTCTGGCTAAGAGCCCTCGCAGGGAGACAGCCCCGTGTCCCGCCTGCCTGCAGCTCTGCATCACCCCTCTCTCTCTCTCTCTCTCTCTCTGTGTCTCCATCTCTCTCCCCATCCCATGGCCTCCTGCCCGTGTCTGCCTCTCACCCCCAGCACCAACACTCTGTTGTGCAGCCATGTCCAGGGAATGGTTTGGTCTCTTGTTCTGGGGCACTGCCCTGCCCTGTGTGCATGGGGAGGGAGGAGGGGCTGGTCAGGGAGCAACATGCTCCGTGTGCTCCCAGCATGTCCCTGGGAAATGGTCCCCTCAGTCCATCTTCCCAGCATGCTCAGAGCAGGGGCTGCCTATTCTGCATCATCTTACACAACCTAAGCTCAATAAATCTGGGTGGGGTTTTTTTTGTTTTGTTTTTGTTTTTTTTTTTTTTTAATTAAGTAACTTTAGTGTGAGCCCTTTGGGCCTCTCAGCCCAGTGACCAACCAAACCCTGGCTGGCAGCAGACAATTGTAACACAACCAGCTCAGTGCCCCACAGCAGGGGAACCTCCTCAGGCCAGCCATGAGACAACCCAGATAACAAAACCCTCCTCCTGCCCCTGAAAATGAGGGAGAGGGTGTTTCTAAATGGCAGCAGAGGCCTTGGTAAGCGCTGCTGCTGAAGCATTATGGAGAGAATGTCACATCTCACCCTTCCCCTAGCTGCAAGAACTGAAGCCACTCCCTAGGAAAGTGAAGGTGGGGTGATGTTCTATCCCACAGCACCTAGAAAGGGATCTGCCTTTTATGGGGCCAAGAAATTATGGGGTAGAAAGAAGCAGGTGGTGAGCCAAAGCCTCTGGTGAGAATTTACCCCAAACCTGGCCATGTCCATCCCCATCCCCTACCCTCCAGATCTCCATTTTTGCTCCATCCATCTTCTCCCACCACTCCTACTCTCTGCCTCTCCTTGAAGAGCTCATTAAATGCATGATAACCTCCCCCTCCCAAACCAGCCATGGCTGCTTTGCACATTCCTTGGGACAAGCCAGGCTCCTGTGACACTCCCCCTGATGCTGGGGATGGATCCTAGTGGAGATGCTCACAGTAAAAGCAGGACAGGTAATGCAGAGCAGTTGCTGCAGTCTTGTGGAGAGGAGGGTTGCTGGAGCAGGGCCATGTCCTGCAGATAGATCATCCCTAGGGCACAAGGATCCTGAACAGCTCCTGAGGAGGGTCACAGCCATCAGGAAGGTCTGGCCCTCACCTTCTCCTCTCCCTTTGCTCCCTGTAACCTTGGATCACTTTGGGTACAGTCCTTCTGCTGGGGCTGAGAGTCCTCCAGGGTCTTTCAAGGAAAAATGTGAAAATTCTTTTATTTTGTCCCTTAGAAGTCCATAAAGAGTCACAAGGAGCTCTCAGGCAAACTCCCAAGGTGGGACTTTGTGCTAAATTTGGCAACCTGCTGGGTGCTGCTGGCATCCCTGGAACAGCAAGCCACTTTGGACAAACAAGGAAACCCACAGCCACAGGGTCCCTGCAGCAGACAGGATATTAGGAGTAGTAGTCAACAACTTCTCAGGAAGGCACTGCCCTTCCCAGAAAGATAGAAATGATGTGACTCACCCAAAGGCCACAAGAGGTGTTTCCTTGTCAGGGATTTCCCTCTGCATGGAGAGATTTCTTTGGGAACTGTTCTAAATTTGGCAGCTGAGTCCCTCAGTGCCAGCTCTGGCATCTCCAGGTGGTTGAATACGTATCCCATAGGATGAGGAGAGATGGAGATGCCAAAGCAGAGAAGGTGGTGAGTGTGTGGGGGACTCTGCTCCAGGGAGGCCTTCAGCCAGGTCACCACCAGCACCACCCCACTGAGCTGCCCTGGCAGTGGCACCTGTGAGTGCCCTGAGGCACCCAGGGTGTGTCAGCCACTCACTGGGCTGCTCTCCACGTTCTGTTGGTCAGCCTCCCTGCCCTCCCCACCCCAACACACCAGTCACCCCAGACAGCAGCCTCCCCTCCTTTCCAGATGTCCCCTGTGTTCCTTAGCTCCAAGCCCAGTGGTGGCAACCAGCCTCCAAAACACAGAGAGGGACTGAACCTCTTGGGGAGCAACACCTCTGAGGTGGGAGCAAAGAGAGCAAGTTTTCCCCAAGGAAAGGCAGAAAATTAAACCATGGAGAGGGGGGGAAGAAAGAAAGAGCCATGTCCAAAAGTCATCTCTGATCCTCCCTCCAGTACACAGAAGGGGAGCTGGGAATGCCATGGCCTCCTGATCCACGTGGCTGGGATGGTGAAGTTAGCTGTGGTGAGGATGAGGAGTTTGTTCTGCCCTACTGCTCTTACCTTCACATACCTGCTCAGTAAAACTCACAGGATGGGGGGAGGGATGGGGGTTTGTAATGGGGCCTTCAGCTCGGGGACTGGTTTGGAAAAATGTCTTTGGGTGGGCGTGGGAAGAAAACAATCATCTGTGATGATCCATGTGACTGCTGGGGAGGTGAGGATGGGAGTTTTCAGGGTGCAGGAGAGGTGTGGGAAGAAGCTTGTGGGTTTTGGTCTTTGAACCACCACTTTTTAACAGTCAATTTGCTGAAAGTGAAATGAACTTCAAACGTCTTTTGGGAAAAGAAAATAAAGGGGGGCGGGAAAGGGGTTGAAATTGCCATGCCACCAATTTCACCTTTGTCAAAAGTTTTGGAGCCTTTTTCTTTTTTTCTGTTGCTATATGAAAAAAACAGTCATTGACAAAAAATACTTTATCAGCAAAATGTTTAAATTATGTAATAAACAAAACAAAACAGAGATGGTACTGGTGTGATTTTAAACAGCCCCAAGACTGAGTCAGAACAAGAGAGAAAATGCCTGCACTGCTGGGATAACCCATGGCCAAATCCCCCCAAACGAGGAAGCCTGAAAAAGAAAGCAATAAGCAAGATCTAGCCAAGAGTATTCATCATTTATTGACCTCTTACCTGTCGCAGTTGAGACAGCCACAGTACACAGAGTATCACCATGCAATTTCAGAAAGCTTCAACCCATTCAGAGCAACATCATACCACTTCAGAAGGCTGCAAGTGTCTGACCTTCTTGTTCTGTAGCCCAGCCTTTTATCCCCTCCTGTTGATGCCCTGCCCCTGTGTGCCCTCTGCTCCCTTTGGTGGTTGCTCAGTGCCCCTGGGCACTCCATGGCTCATTGCTGTCAGTGCTGCTCACCTGCTGCTCACAGCTGCACCCACTGGGGATGAGGCTGGGCCAGCCCCACTCCCAATCACCACACACTGTGTGCCTACACCTACCTTTCAAAAAAGCCAACTCATGGAAAAACAGGTTCCCTAATAGCTGTCCCTATGCTGTACAACAGGAGAAGGGACACATGCCAGGGGCTAAAATACATCTCACTTAAATAAAAGTGTAAAGCAGACATAATACTCGGTATATCATGAAGCAAAAGCATGGATGGTGCTTTATCAGATACCACTTTATCAGAGACTCGAGAGATAAGGAGGGGTGAGTCCCCAGTGTCCTTTTCCATCTGGGACCTCCTCTCTCACCAGCATGCAGGGCAGGGCTTCACCAGAGCTTCAGCTTCCAGCATCTGGTGGCACTTACTTCCCCTGAAACATTTTCCCCTGCATGGCATCTGAAGGAAGGTGGGAGCAGTGTGCAGTGCCCCAGAATGCAGCTGGACCCACGTGAGAGCTGCAGTGAAGGGAGCACTGTGGTCTTTGCCTCATCCAAGCTCTGTTAAGGTGAACAGTGGGAAACCCCTGTGCAGAGCTACCTTAGTGGTGATGGTGGCCTCTGACAAACACACCATGAGGGAGGAACAGGCAGCACCAAACCAGAGGTGGAGACACATTCAAGACAGGTTCAGTATTTTTAAACTAATGAATCAGGTTACAGGCACTGCAGCAGAATGGGATGGGGTTCTCAGGTACAAGAGCCACAGCACACCACCACCCCCAGCAAGGGGAGGACTGCCAGCCTGGGAGGAGACACCACATGAAGCATCTCCAGTGCCACAACTCAGAACTCATCTCCCCCAGCAGCCTCTCATGCTGCTTGCTCCCTGTCACTGCCAAAGGTGAGGAAACCCCATGGAGAACAGGAGCAGGAGCTGGTGGTGGCAGTGTCAACAGAGACCCCAGTCCTGTGTGTGCTGGACCAGGACAGGGCAGCCACAGGTGATGGGAACCTGTCAGTTATGAGCTTCAGGCTCCACACTGTGCAAACTCACAAGGCTGACACCTAACCCTGCACCTCAGGGATATATTGTAGGAATGGGCTGTTCTTCAAACAGTAGCACCTTCACAAACCAGGAGTCTCCTTCCTCCCATGAGCAAGGGACGGAGCACTTGGAAAAATTAGGGACTTTCCAGGGCCAGTGGAACACTGTGAACTTCATGTGCCACACTGATCTTGAGGGTAAGGATCAGTTTAACACAACAAACACAGCCAGTTCTGCCAGATTTGGGGAGGCACTCCTGCCTTCAGCCTGGCAGGTGCTGCAGCCTTTCCAGAGCTGGCTCAGGGCAATTCAATGGCTTTTGTGTTGTAGCAGCCTGGAGGAAGGCTCTTCTGGATATCCTCCAGGTTCTTAATATCAGCCAGGATGCCATCGATGCTGCTCTCCAGTGTCTGCACCCGGGCCTTCTGCAGGGCAGCTGTCTGCTCCAGCTCTGACATCTCCACCTTCAGCTGCTTGCTTCTGCTCTGGGCTTTGCTGAAGTTCTCCTCAAGCTGCCTCAGGCCATCCTCATCCACAGCACCAGGCTGGTCTTTGGCACAGAAGGAAAACAAGGAATGGGAAAGCACGCATGGAGGCTGAGAATTAGATCTTCCCAGATACTTCATCTCCACCCTGCTGCCCAGCCTGTTCACAGCCATCACATAATTTAGCTTCCCACTAAACTCCCAGAAGCCCTGCCTAGACCCCAGAGGGGACCTGTCTCCATCCACACCCCACAGAGGCGTCACAAAACCTACTCATGAGCCGCAGCAGCTCTTCCAGGGCACTCAGCATCTGCTGCACAGCTGCCCCTGCCTGGCCAGCCTTGTCGTGGACCCTCTGAGCTTCCTGAGCTGTCTGGAGGAGGAAAGGCAGGGGCTGTAAGGTGAAATCAAGCCCACAAGTCAACAGGGGAGGAGACAAGGCAAAGGAGATGGGGACCCACCTTCTCTATCACAGCAGCATCTGCCTCAGCCTCAGAGAGTTTCCTCTCAAATGCTTCATCCACTTCCTTGGCCTCCAGCTGCAGGGTGGCCACTGCCTTCTCCAGGGCCAGGACGCCATCAGCTGTCTTGTTGGCTTCCTCCCTCAGCCGGGCAATCTCCTGGTGTTGTGTTGAGGAAAAGGCACTTTTAGAGGGCAGAACACAACCAAAATCATTCTGGGTGCACTGGAGTGGGGAACTGGTAGAAAG